CCGAGACGACGATTCACTTCTGCGATCTCGTCCTGTGTCATCGGGATAAGTTGCGGATGGCCCTCTTTATGAAGGGTTTTGCCCCTGTTGGGGCTCAGGCCTTCGTTGTTGCCAACGGGGCATCCTGGCCTGTGGTTCTGGAACGGCTCGGAACAAGGCCCGCATGCTGCGTGAGGCCTATACTGCTTGCGCGCCGCGATAATGTCTCGCAGCTGAGTCCGCGCTGCCTGAATTTCAGGGCGGCGGATATTTGTTGCAAGCTGATAGCCTCCGAAGATGGCCTTGCCATCACTGCCCCTATAGGCAGGGTTGCCCTTGCCGAAGGCCGAGTGTTCCCCTTTTTCGGCGTCTTGGGTCGTTGTGCGGAAGTAGCTGGCCACCTCTCCTAAGAGCGTGTTCTTTTGGGCCAGCCTGCCTCCACTCACGAGGAAGTCGAGCCTGTGGACGTGGCTCTTCTCTGACGCGCGTATGGGAACGAGACCTTCCGGTGTTCTCATCAGAAGAAGCTGCCGAAGCAGCAGGAGCGGCACCCGGTGGAGGTGCCTGAGGAGGCTCCTGTGCGATCCCAGATGGATCGTCCGATGGAGGCAGGTCTCCCTGCTGGATGGAGCTCGGCGCAAATGGCGCTTGTGCCGATGGTGATGATGATTCAGACTCGTCAGGATCGAAGTCAACCTCTTCCTCACCATTCACGTCCATCGTGAGGATGGTGACGTCATCCTCATCTAACCCGCAACCATCGCCTTCAACTTCTTCTGATGTCGAACTACCTATGATGACGGCCATTGGCGTATCTGGTACAGGCAGGTTTCCCTGCATAGCCGGCGTCTGTGCGTCGCTCGGCTGTCCCGGGGCAGGAGGCGCTGCTGTCGGCTCAGGCTCGTTGCCGAGCACAGGCTGCCCGGCGATATTGCGCATGGCCGTATGGTTTGGCCACATTCCCACCGCCTGGAGACCCCATCCTGGCGGAGGAAGATCATGACCGCGCATGGCAATAGCCATTTCTAGAGCATTACGCCATCTACCACGGGAGTATATCAAGTGTCTCTGCACGTCCTGAGGATGCACGCTGTCAATGAGAGTCAGAGCTGCCAACAACAGCTCTGAGCTGCCACAAGCATCAGTATCCTGCATTATCATAATGTCAGCTTCGATATGTTCTTGACTCTCAGGATAACCAATAATAAGTATCTCATGCATCCTCATGAGGGTCTGCAAAAGGGTGCGTGGTCCATATTCGCCTGGAGCAAGCGAACCAGGAGGTATAAACGGAGTATCTGGTTCGCCTGCAATGAAGGCCTGAACAAATGCCTGAGACTCCATTTCAATTAAGTCTTCAGTGGTCTGGGGATATTCTCCCATCAAAGACGGCCTGTTTCCAGGCGGGATTTCGGGCGGAGGTTCGAGGTGTCGTTGAACCTCGGAAGGCGAAGCCTCTATAGTGGTGTCCTCGTCGCTACTCTCGTAGGCCATGATGTTGCCTGGGTTCCCGAACATCCAGTCGAAGAAAGAAAGAGGCTGGTTTCCCAGCGTACCGTGATCCACGGGAGTAAGCTCGTTATTGCCAATAACGAACCGGCGGACGTACTCGAGGTAGTGCGCGTACAATCCATGACCATGCGCCTCGAGCTCGTCGACGTTGTCCATGCCTACAACCCAAGTGAAAAAGATCTGCTCCATAGCCTCAAAGTCCTGGAGGCTCAGATACTCAATGGATGGTTCACTTGAGCCAAAATGGACTTCGGTCGACCTGCCCTTTCCATTTCCCTTCACTGGACAATCTCGCACAAGATGATCGGAACTACCACATTCATGGCATTTAAGAACCTGGCCGTCTCTACCTCGCGGGTTTCCCCGCCTACCTTTGCTTTTTCCTGAGGTCTCTCTACGGCCTTTACCACGGCCTTTTCCCCCAAGGAATATCTCATCATGTTGTTCATCTGAGAGCCTCTGGAGAAATGCCGCGATGCCTCGTCCGTTCAACCTCCGACGACCTCGCTTACCTCTACCTTTTCCCTTAAAACTTCTCCGTATTCTCCTTCTAACACGACGCGCTGGTTTTCGCGTGAACCTCCTCCACCTTCGTTTAGCTTGTTGTAGTAACCAGAACAAATGTTCAGCACGCTGATTGTCGTTATCCATATTCATGATGTCTGACCAATCTAGAGCTTCAACACCATCTGATGATATAGTGTCTGTATCGGTGCCGGAGTCGAAATCCTCGTCTCCCAAGTAGGTGGATACACCGTCGGTTAGGGGGTTTGATTCCCCCCATAAGGAGCGGTGTGGTTGTGGTTCTCTAGAAGGAGGGCTGGTTGCCCAGCTTGGTTGTGATCGATCCCCTGCTAATAAAGCAGTGGATTCTCCTGGGTCATCGGCCCATATGCTTGAGGGCCCGTTTCCAGGCTGGGCTTCAGTAGTCAAGGTAGTGTAGAAATTTCCACTACCAGATCCCCTTCCCCTTCCAAACACAGATCCTATGTTACCAGGAGACCGTTCAGATAGGTGGCCTATCGAACGCATCCTCTCCAGCAACTCATCATACTGTTGTTGTGTTCGGGGCATTTGGTGATTGAGTGGCTGTAAGAGTTGCATGGCTCGCTGGTTGCCGACGCCTAAGGCGCGGAATAGGATAGTGGTTAGCAGTTGGAAGTTGGGAAGGTCGAATCCCACCGACTGTGCCTCAAGTCGGGCCATTTCGAATCGGGTAAGGGTGACATCGATTCGTTCCCCGTGAGGCACGTGGAAGTCGATGAGTTGTGTGCCGGAAGTGAGCTGTCGCTCATCTTCCAGGCGTTCGAACTTCATGCTTAGGAGGAACATGATGTAGGTCACTGGGTCTGTGTGGACCCCATCGATGTCAGCACCATAGTTTATAATGTCAGGCGGTACCCTCATGGCGAGTGTCCTCGCTAGGCCACCTAGGCCGCGTTGTATTGCGGCCGTTTGGGCCTGTGGCGTCATACGTCCGCTTGTAACGTTGAGCCATGCGTTGACCTCGTAGATGTACTCACGAAAAGGTACATTACCTTGAGGGTCCCAATATGGGCCATGTGTTTGCCCATCGGTGCTGTTTTCTCCACGACGCATGTGTCCGATTGCTGCCCCCAGCGCGAACCATATAATAGCGAAAACGACTAGCCCGAGAATGTTCAGAGAAGGACGGTCATGATGCGCGTTGTCGCGCTGGGGTAGCGCCTTGTCGAGTCTTCGAGGCGCTCTGTCTGGCGGGTCTCCCCGCCCCTGCTTCAAGTATTGCGCTGTTAGCTCGTTGCCGAGCGGTTGGTGGTAACGCAATGATGAAGCGTATATGGTACCAGTCTGGTCGTCTAGACGTCGTACCTCTCGTGTTGCTTCTTGCTCTTGGATAGATCCTCGTAAACGTACTGGGAGTGGTGGCGCAGGGTGGTAGGTGGTCACGAAGATCGTGCCGAAGAATATGAGGCTAAGAAGAGCAAGAGCTGACCACACGAGAGTGCGGCCAGCTCCGCTACCAAGTCGAAAGTGAGCCTGGTAGCTCAAATATGGCAAATAGCGCCCATCGCTCTGCTGTGAAGGTACAGTATGAGGGGTGGACGGATAAGATAGGATAAGATCGATGTAGTGATATTTCCAGCACATAGCGAACACTCGCGGTGTCCGGGCAAATAGGGCGCGCGTGCCTTGGACCAAAGGCAACGGCGCGCGCGAGCTATGCTCCCGATACTATAACATCTCCCAAAGACCTACCCTTAAAGTCAGGGAACGTCTTGAATGAAGAGAAGAATAGGAGGAGGCCATGAACTCCCAGGAGGTATCATTGCCAGCGAACGAGGACAACGATGTTAAACATGCGCTGGGACTTAGAACGAACATCGGCACGAAACCGAACATTTAAAACAAACGTTTAGCACGACACCCGTGCCAAACGAAAACGACACCGAAACGAAGCACAACGTAACATCAACCAAAAACGAAACAACAAACAAAACACGGGCCGAAGCAGCGTTGTGCTCGGCCCCTGATCATTGCCCCGGCCATGATATCCACACGAACACACCCAGTCACCACCCCCCTCGAGGGAGGATCGGTCAGCATCGCATCGGGAAGCGGATCAGATCGGATCGCGCGTCGGATCGGGATGTATCGGCACGGGTTCGGAGTCAATCTGGACCAACTGCGACAAGAATGCACAACAACGCCACGCAACCATCCGGCCGCACCTGACCACCGCAAAATCGAAACGGAACCGAACCGGATCGAGCCGGCTGGAACCGATGGTACCGATATCGAACTAGATCGAGACTGACTCTGGAGAGAGGAGCGCTCGAGGACCAGGGGGACACAGATTACAGATGTGGATCCCCTTGCGCGGCACGCCATTTTCTGTATCTTCCCGAATTCCGTCTCGAGCACCCTCCGCTTTCCGGCTACACGCAGGAGTGGCCCTGCGCGCAGGAGTGAGCTTTGGTGCGCAGCTCCAGGGCGGCGCGAGGGCCGCATCCGAGCGCGCACCGCTGCTACCGCAACGCACTGGGCGATCGGGAGACCCCAGCGGGCCCGCACCAGAGGTCCTTCTGGCGAGGGGCACTCTGACGCGCAGCCGAGCTACGACTCTAGGGGAATAGCAAACATGGCATAAGCATAATGTGTTGGAAGTCCGCGCGGCTTTCTTGGATCCGCGCTGGGCCCCCTCCCTGGCGCGCGGAGCGCGTCAGGGGCGGCGCCGGAGGCGCCGCCAAGGGGACCCAGCGCAGATCCGAGAAATCAGCGCGGATCTCCGACACTTTTTATGCTTCGACTTGCTGGCTCTTGCGAGTCGATGCTAAGCGACGGTAACCAACGCGAGTCGCCGCGAAATCGACACAAAATCGGCGCTAATTTGACGACCTCGCATCGATCACAGACGCTAGAGCACGCGAGTGCACTCTGCAGGCGGAATCCCGAGGACACCCAAAGCTCCCATGAGCTGCTACAAAAGGTGGTCGCATCACTGGCAGCCGGCACGGAGGGGCACGGGCCTTCCAGTCCAGGGGGTTCGAGACGTCCTCGGACTCGTACGTGGTTCTCGCCGAGATCAGCCTCACGTCCTGGAGAGGCCGTCTCCACTGGAGACGTCCGTCTGCTCCGAGGGGCACGGCAGAGAATAGAGGACCCCCCCAAAAAAACTAAATATACATAATGGTTCTTTATTCCCCCCCGTAACGTCCGTTAGAAGCGGGGGTCGGGACCCGTGGGGGGGTAATTAGCTGAAATGTGATCGGCCACGCAGGAGGGGGGGGACTGGGCGCGGCCTGGGCACCGGACGGCGACAACGACGACGACAACGACGACGACGACAACGACGACGAAGACGAAGACGAGGACGACGACGAGGGCGAAAACAAAGACGAGGAGTACGTCGACGTCGACATCGACGACGGCGACGACGAGGACGACGAGGGCAATGAAGACGACGACGACCACGACGACGAGGACCAGGACGAGGACGAGGACGGCGACTTCAAGGACGACGAGGACGACGATAGCGACGACGAGGACGAGGACGACGACAACGGCCGCCTCTGAAGATCTCCAGAAATCACAAAAAGCCTCAGGAGGCGATTGGAGGCCCTTCGAGACCACCGGAAACGACGACGATGAAGACGATAATGACGACGACGACGACGACGACGACGACGGCGACGAGGTCGAGGAGGAAGACGGGACGGGGACGACGATGACGGTGACGGTGACGGTGACGGTGACGACGACGACGACGACGACCAAGACGACGACGACAACGACGACAGCCGCCTCTGGAGGCGTCTGGAGGCTCTTCGATGCCTGTCATCATCACGCCATGCCTGTGAGCACGGCGCCATAGCTGTGGGGATGCCGTCCCCCATTCCCGGTTGGTTCGTTACCGTGACAGGAGAAAGGACTGGGGGCTACACCCCCGTAGCGGAAGTCATGGGTTCAACGAAAAAACACAGACAGTAGTTAATTACGGGTTCAACGAATGAAAAGCAAATATTATAAACATCATCGTTCGACGCTCCACGAAGATCTCTTGGATCTGAGCTGGGCCCCCCCCTGGCGACGCCCGCAGCGGAGGGTGTTCCAGCGCCGGTCCAGGGAACCCGCGCGGGGCTCCAAGAGCTCATGTTGTTGCATGTTTGTGTTTTCTTTTCTTATGTATGTTTCCTCTTCCCCGTGAGAGAGAGAGAGAGAGGGAGAGAGAGAGAGAGAGAGACCGCTCTTCTTCTTCCTTGACAGAGAGAGAGAGAGAGAGAGAGAGAGAGAGCGAGAGAAATAAAGAAAGAGAGGGTACGGGCCCAGAGCCGTGGAGGCCGCGCCGCCCTCCAGCGAAACGCTGCCGGGGGAAGACCTTGCGGGAAGAGGGAGCGATCCCTGGCAAGCCATCGAGGGCCGTCCAGGGAGGGCGGCGCAAGAGGAGGAGGAGGCTTGCAGTGAGGCCCGTGCTCAAGGGGCCTTCCAGGAAATCCCATTCAGAGGCTGCTGAAACTTCCTGGAGGTTTTCGCAGATGGGGAGGGGAGGGGAATGAGCAGGGGCAAGGGGAGCAGGAGGAGGACGAGGAGACCGGAGACCAGGAGGAGGAGGAGGAGGAGCAGGAGGAGGAGGAGGAGGAGGAGGCGAAGGAGGAGCAGACCCCCTGAGCAGCCCGGACCCTCCTGGAACTCTCCGAGGAGGAGGAGGAGGAGGAGCCCCAGGCCCCGAGCCCCAGGCGCCGAGGCGTGAAGCCAGCCCGCGCCGCCGCCCTCGGCCCCTGCACCGCACCGCCCCTGCCCGCTGCCCTGCCCCCACGAGCGGCGGACACGTCCGTACCCGCCGCCCTCGCGGTCTGGGATGCCGGGGCGCGGTCCCGCGGGCACGCGGTCGCACGGGTACGTCCCCTGAGCGGCCCTCGCGCTGTTCCCCCCCCCTCCCTCCCTTTGGCCGCCCCCCCTCCCTTCTTACCCCACCCTCTTGCCTGTTCGCTCAATTCGCTAGGACGGTGCCCCCGTTTAGATAGCTCATCCGCCAGCGCAGTCGACCTCTGCCTAGCCGCCGACGCAAAGAAGGCCGCACGGGTAATTACGTTCGGCGCGGGGGTGATCCGCGAACAAGAAGCGCCCCGCATCCGGGGGCGCGGCCCAGGGGCCCGGCCCGCGAGGCCGCGGATGCGGATACGTCTTTCGCCCACGAACGGTTCTTGAGCCCTCGGCGCCGAGGCGTGGATCCTGAGCTGCCCGAACGGCCCGCGAGGCCGCGGATGCGGATACGTCTTTCGCCCACGAACGGTTCTTGAGCCCTCGGCGCCGAGGCGTGGATCCTGCGCTGCCCGAGCCCTCGGCCCTTGGGCCGCGGCTTGCGCGGGCCGCCAGCGTGGCACACCGTGTGGGGAACTCACGCGCGGCCTCACCCGAGGCACGCTACGCGGGAAAATGTCCGCGCAATCGATCTGGTCTTCGTCCGTGCATCACGTCTGGCTCGTCGCGCTAGTGGCCGCAAACCGGCGACAGACCTTCCACTGGCGGCAACAAAATACACTCTCCCTGTAAAACTTCTTGTCATCAGGTCCCTTCTGTGATCCACGCCATACTTCTGTGGAGCGATGCCACCGAGGAGTGGGCTTCACTGTAGCTGCAGCCGCGGGCTCGGGCGGTCGGCACTCACTTCAGCGATGGTCGGCAAAGAATGCAGCAGAGCTGCACGTTAGACGCCGTAGCTTAGACGCGCATGTGGTAGTAAAGGGCGCGTGGACGGCAGGATCGTGTAAGAAAGTGGGTGGGTGGGTCACATTTGAGGGATGTCTGATTTAAGCTGTCTTCAAGGGTTTGGAGGGGTCTAAGAAAAAGGACGCCGTGTCATGACGTGTCGGGGGGGTCTGAAAATGCTCGTCTGGGAGGGTTGTAACCATGAAATCCGGAGGAGCGAAGGACCTGTTCGAGCTACATTCGCATGACTTTGGCAGGGGGATCATACCGCAGTCAAGCTGGATAAAAGTGACGGCTGCGCTCCGCTGCAGTCACTAGGCACGGTACCACGAATGCACGGCGGCTGTATGGCAAGTGGTGGGGTAATGCTTGGCGATGGTGGCTGTACACTGCAGTGTAACTGCCACTAAGTGGGCGCCTCGGCACAGTGCTATCGAGCGCAGGAATGTGTATATATATGTATAGACATATGCGTACTCAGATTTATAAGCAATTATGTATATGTATGATCGAATGTAAGAATGTTGACGACTTCAGCGCAGAACTGCGATGAGGCCTGCCGCAACAATTGGAACCTCAATCATTGCACAATCGTTGAAAAAACACGCGTCAAGCAATCCGGGAAATCTGTCATTTATCCACGTCATCGAGCAATCCACTTGGCTACAGCGCCAAATACCCGCGATTGCGATATCAATGGCAGCCGCAACCGGTAAGGCTCCTCGAGAGCACACGCCAGCGTCGGCATGAACTTCGCGCAGCTCAGCTCAATCCTGGAGCGAAGAGAGGAGAGGAGGAGAAGGCGAGGGAGGACGAGAAGGACGGGGAGGAGCTATGGCGAGGAGGAGAAGAAAGGAGGGAGGGGAGGGAGGGGCGAGGGGAGAGAAGACGAGAGAGGACGGACGACGAAAGAAATGAGTGAGTGAGTGAATGAAAGGGCACACGAAGAAAAGAAAGCACCAACGAAAAAACGCCCAATGCCGGTCCTTGCCTTCCCTCGGGCACTCGTGGGTCGTTCCGGCTCGAACGGACCAGGTGCAGAAGTGGGTTCGAGATGGTGAGGCTTCGGGTTGCGCGCATACAGCCCCTCCCAGGTAGTCTCGGCTGTCCTCAACAGGCCACTCGAGTAGCTAAAACTGGCCTCAACAGGCCCCCCACATGGTGCAGGGTCTCAACACCCCGACACTGGGACGCGAAGCGAGCCAGCTGAGACCGCCGTAGACTCCTCCCCTGAGATCCGACGTTGCAAAAAAAAATCAACATCACAGACAGGTCACGAGCGGAGCCCTGGACTCACTCTTTCTGCGTCATTTTTCGGGCTGGGCCAATCTGTGGAGTCCCGGGGCCGAAATCGGGCGAAAACGCCTGGTGTGAAAAAAAACGCCCGGATCTGAAAGCTGGGGGCCTGTTGAGGCCAGCTGAGGCCAGCCGGGACAACCGGGGGGGGGCTGTCCTTGCGCATCCCGAAGTCTCACCAGCTCGAGAGCCCGGGCGGCGGTTGCCTCACACCGTCGCTGCTTCTAGACACCCCCAAACATGTTGCGAACGCTCCCGACCGAAACTTTCGGCATTTCTTCCCAGCGGTGCGCGCCCCCAGTGGAACGATGCGCGCAGGGCCAGGTCGCAAGTTGCCGACGTCCTAATCTCTGAGAGCCCCATGTTGTCGTAGGGGGGAAACCCGTGACGAAAGACACCGAAACAAACCCTGGGTAGAAAAGACGAGCCCCAAAACGCGAGGCAAGAGCGAAACCTTAAAACTTGTTCGGAGACCATATGCACCTTGGTGGTAGAAGAGAGGGAGGTGGAGGAGGATGAGAAGAAAAAAGAAGAGGAGGAGGAGGCTATATTATGTTTGCTTGCATTACGCCCCAGTGTACTACATGACGTCATGGTATGTTATGTTATGTTTTGCATGGGCCGGCGTGACGTCGTGACACCTGTCATGATAGATGTGTTGTCTAGTCGGTCGTGGCTGCGCCTGTTTGTTCCTGTAGCCACCCTGACCTCAGCGCGCACCTCGCGTTTGATCATGCTATAGTACGGTCGATCAATCGTTTGATGAAACGCTGTGAATTATTTGGCTGCTGCACAGTAGAGTGCTAGATTATCTTCGCTTGGATTTCTACGCCAGCGTAATACATGGCACACTGTTATGCTGAAGGGTGATTCTTGAAGAGCCGGCGTGACGTCGTGACGCCTGCCCTCTTTTGGAATGTCGTCGAGTCGGTCGTGGCTGCTGGTGTTTGTTTCTGTGGCCATCGTGGGCTCGGCGCACATGTCGCATGTGATAGGATAGATTAACCCAGCCTCTGTTGTATTATACTCTGTGACGTTATGTTCGGCTTTCTTCTTGTCTATGCACATATGATTGTACTTTCTCTGTTTTGGTCCCGACGGGGCGGCGTGACGTCGTGACGCCTGTCACGTTTGACACGTCGTCAACTCGGTCGTTGCTGCGCCTGTTTGTTTTGTGACCAGCCTCACGGCCGCGTGGATGCTGCGAGTGACAAGGCGCCATGAATGGTAACTTGCACTATGCCCTAGTACTTTCTGCTATAATGTGGTATGTTCTGTTCTGGACGGGCCGCCGTGACGTCACGACGCCTCACGTTGAATACGTAGTCCAATCGGTCGTTGCTGCGCCTGCTTCTTCATGTGGCCACCCTGACCTCAAAGCGCATGCCGCGTTTGATTAGATTGTGTTACTGTCGATTATGTCAAGATGTTCGTCTAGTGAAACGAAAGTAAGTGTGGTTGCTCTTAAACATTATAATAGATCATCTTCGCGTGGATTAGCCCCAATGTAGCAAAGAACACCACGTTCCGTGATGTTGCTTTCTGGACGAGCAGGCGTGACGCCGTGACGCCTGTCACCTTCTGATATGTCGTTTAATCGGTCGTTGCTGCCAGTGCTTGCTTGTGGCCGGCGTGGACTCGGCGCGCGTGTCGCGTAAATCGAGCGTATGGTAAAACTGCATTGTCCGGGTCTCTGCAATGTTATACGATGTGACGTTCTGTTATGTTCTATTGTGTTATGCTCTCGACGGGACTGCAAAAACTTCGACGGCGCGCCGAATGTACTTCCACAATACTTTCGCGCGCGCGAGAGGCATGCTGCACTTTTGGTTTGACGCGCTTGCGCGGCCTGCTTTACACTTGTTGTGGCGGCGAACCGTGTCAGCAAAATGTCCCGCGACACGGGTTGTTCAACCGATGGCGCCAGGGAACCCACCTCCGCGAAATAATGCTAGCGCAAACGGAAACACCTGTAATTTTGTCGGACCCCAGCAGGCGCCCGCTCGGCGGTCGTTGATTTTGCGTTGACGTGTTTGCGCGTCGAAATCGTGACGCTTGTCATGTTTGATCTGTCGATTAATCGGCCGTTGCTGCGCCTATGTTCGTCATGTGGCCAGCCTCTCACTTCGGCGTGGATGCTGCGTTCGACAGGGCGCCATTCATCGATCGATGCTGCGTTTACCCATTGGTTGGAAGCAGTCGCTCGAAGCATACACTAGGAAGGCATTGAAAAAAGATTGGGTTCGGGCCGCCCGCTTGAGAGGATGGAAAAGGAGAAGCCAGTCGATCATTGAAGTAGAAATGCGCTTAAAGTGTATTGCAATGTGGGAATCCGCACATACCTACTTTGAACGGCCGATGGGTAACAATACATTCAAGAATTATGGATTCCATCATTGCCGAATGCGCTATGCAAGACTATGCTATGTTATGTTCTCGACGGGCCGGCGTGACGTCGTGACGCCTATCACGTTAGAGGCGTCGACCAATCGGTTGTTGCTGCGCCTGTCTGTTCCTGCAGACCAGCCCGACCTCGGCGCGCACGTCGCGTTTGGTCATCCGATTGCGCTGCCGCGCGATTCCGCAGACGCGCTCGGGCGGGCGGAGGGGGTAGGGGAGGGGCGACAGTCGCCCCTCCCCTACCCCCCCGAAGTCGCCGACTTGGGGGGGTAGGGGCCATGGACGTCTACCTGAAAGGCTGAAAACGCAGGGACTCGGCCGTACAGACGAACGCATCTTGGGCTCGATGCGTCGGGGGGGCCCTAACTATCGCTTCGCAAGAGGCGAGAGGGCCAGACGCACACCAACCGCTGCAAGCGCGCTGGCGGATACCAAGGCAACGTCGAAGTGTGTTGATATTCCTTTTCAGCGGTGGTTGACCCTATTAGGCGAATGTGTACTATACTATGACCAGCGCTGTCATAGGATGAAATGTAATGTTATGATGTGTTAGTTTGTTATGCTCGGTTATGTTTTGTTCAGGACAGAGCATGCCTCTTCAAATATGTTATAGCCCATGGCGTTATGTAACATGGGTTGCCGCGGTGATCGCAATAGTACGACACTTGTGCTATGTTACGATTGTGTAAACATATGTGACGATATATTACCCTCGTTGCCGTCGCGGTAGTACTAGCACAAACAATAAACAATGAAATGCCAACGCGTGTTATGATATGCTATAGTATGATATGGTACGGCATGGTGTCGGTTGCTCTGCTATGTTTGTGTAGGTGTTTGTGATAAGATGCTGAGGTATGGTCTACGATGTGATCGTATGGAATTGAAGGTGCAATAACACATGGTGTGCCTCGCTCTGCCATGGCATGGTGTGTTATGGTACCGTATGAGATGTATGCAACCGTTCGTTACACAATGCTATATTACGGTATGTATTGTTATGCCATGCTGCGTGATTGTATAGTGTGTGGTGTTATGCTACGTTGTGTGTTACCATGATGTGTTATGTGCGGTCCGCCCTGTTATAGCACGACTGACTATGATTTGATATGATATGGTATGTGGTGCTGTGATATACTATACTCTGCTATGCCATACTCACTGGTTATACCATGTTATGCAATGTCACTCTATGGTAAATTATGCTCTGTGCTGTTAGTTATGTTCAGTCATGCTCACCGGGGCAGGAGTCACGGGGATTCTCGGTGGACCTGGGGATCTGGCGGCAGCGCTACGCAGAGTGGGCGGGTCCCGGGAGGGGCGGGAGTCTCGGGGATTCTCGGTGGACCTGGGGAAAGGTATGCAGGGTGGGCGGATCGGGAGGATGTTCTTGAAATGTAACGACCCCGACCTGTCGGGTTTGGAAAAAACATGACTTCTCTGAGGTCTGCGCGGATGTCTTGGATCGGCACTGGACCCCCTCCCCGCAGCGAGCAGCGCGCCAAGGGCGGTGGTAGAGGCGCCGACAAATGGACCCAGCGACGATCCGAGAAACCGGCGCGGAGCTCCGAAAGTGTATGTTTTTCCCAGCCATCCTGTGGTGTTGGGTCCTCGTTTTGAAGAGACAGCGCCCCGCGTCCTCACTCCTCCTCCTGCTGCTCCTCCCTCCTCGCTCCTCCCATCCTCCCCCTCCTCTTCTCCTCCCCCACTTCGGCACACCCCTCACACGTTTGGTGGCCCAATAGGGAGCTCCTCCGAAGGCCCAGATGCCAGCGCTCGCATGCGACCGCGGCCCATTTTGGCACACCCCTGGCACGTTTTGTGGCCCAATAGGGAGCTCCACCGAAGGCGCAGGTGCCAGCGCTTGCAAGCGCCCACCGCGCCCATGTTGGCACACCCCTCACACGTTTTGTGGCCCCATAGGGAGCTCCACCGCGAAGGCGCAGGTGCCAGCGCTCGCATGCGCCCACCGCGCCTAGTTTGGCAAGCCCCTCACACGTTTTGTGGCCCCATAGGGAGCTCCACCGAAGGCCCAGATGCCAGCGCTCGCATGCGCCCACCGCGCCTAGTTTGGCACACCCCTCACACGTTTTGTGGCCCTATAGGGGGCTTCACCATAGGCGCAGGTGCCAGCGCTCGCACGCGTCCACCGCCCAGATGCCAGCGCTCGCATGCGCCCACCGCGCCACTGCTGGGACACCCCTCAATCCATTCTTGGCCCCATAGGGAACCCCGCCGAAGGCCCAGATACCAACGCTCGCATGCGCCCACCGCATCCATTTTGGCGCGCCCCTCACACGATGTGTGGCCCCATAGTGAGCCCCACCGAAGGCACACATGCCAGCGCTCGCATGCGCCCACTTCGCCCATGTTGGGACACCCCTCACACGTCTCGTCGCCCCATAGGGAACCCCGCCGAAGGCCCAGATACCAGTGCTCGCATGCGCCCACCGCACCCATTTTGGCACACCCTTCTCACGTTTCGTGGCCCAAAGGGAGTTCCACCGGATGCCGCGCAAACAACGGGAGTACCCACAATTGCATGTGGTTGCGCCTTTCGCCAGGCTAATTGTGTACTTGCTTCTTCTTCGGCTTGCTGGCACTTTCGAATCGACGCTGGCGAAACCAACTGGCGCTAATCGACGATCAATCGACACTAATCGGTGCTAATGCTGTGCTTTCTCATCATTTACCTTCCAGACGCTAGAGCACCGAAATGCACCCTAAAGCCCGGATTCCGAGGACACACAACGCTCCCATGAGTTGCTACCGAAGGCGGTTGCCTCACACCGTCGCTGTTTCTGCTCACGTCGGAGGCTGTTGTTGAGAGAACAGGTGGCGACATCCGAACATTACATCCACCAGTCATCGATTCTCCTGAGTTGACTGGAGGCGGGGGTAGGCCTCAGATTTCGCCAACGTTGATCGGCGAGGGTAGGGTTCGGATTGCGCGGCCGAGCGGAGCACCGCGGGATTTGGAGGCGGCTGGGGGGTCTGAACCGGGACCCCAGAAAAACTGTCAGGAGGGGAAGATGAAGCCAAATCCACTCAAAATCAATCCCCTGACCCCTCCCGGAATCCATCTGGTGCACTTTTTCACACCGGATCCGTTGTTGACCGTCCCGGGGCCCAAAGACGGCCCCCCGAGACCGCAAAAGGCAAAAAACCCTCTCGAAAATAGAGCCTCGAACCCGCCCGCCCTCCCTGCTGGCCGGAGCCAGTCCTGGGCCACCTCAGTCCCCCAGCCGTTGTGGGGGGCCAAACCATATCCGTCTTCGCGGCCTCGCGGGCCAAGGCGCCGGGCCGCGACCCCCGCGAATACGGAGCGTTGTTTCGCGGATGCCCCGCGCGGGGCGTATACGTGCGACCGCGCATCCGCGGGATCGCGCCCCGGAATCCAGACCGCGAGGGCGGGGATACAGATATGTTCGCCGCTCGTGAGAGGGAGGAGGAGGAGGAGGAGGAGGAGGAAAAGGAGGAGGAGGAGGAGGAGGAGGAAAAGGAGGAGGAGGAGGAGGAGGAGGAGGAGGAGGAGGAGGAGGAGGAGAAGCGCCGCTCGTGGTGAAGCCGGCTCCAACGAGGGACCGCGCCCCCCAGAGGCAGGGAGAGAGCCCACGGCGGCCGCGCGCGCGGAGAGGGGGGGGGGCGGCCACAGCCCCCGGGCGGCCGAGCGCGTACGCAGCAGGAGGGGAGGGGCGCGCTGCGGTCCAGCCGCGCTCCGCGTTGGTGACCAGCACCTGGGGGACGAACAAAAATCTGGTGGCATCGTGGCTCCAAGAGGCCCACAAGAGGTCCAAAGCAGGGCTCGACCAAAACAGTGTTTGTCATGTTCGTTTTGTTTTCGTTCTCCCTCGTGTTGTCTTCGTTACGCCTTCGCTGCACAACAAAGTCAAAACGTTGAGGTCGATCCCTGGTCCCACGGAAGCCCGAAGGCGCCCCCGAGAGGCTGCCAGGAGGCCCCCATATAAGGGGCTCCCATAAGAGGCGCCGAAATTCCTTCCCAGGGTCCCTCGAGAGCCTTCCGAAGAGACCCCGAGAAGCATCCCTGAGGACTCTGGCCCACGTCAGCGTCGTCGTCGTCGCCGTCGCAGCCGCCGCCATTGTCGTCGTCATCCCCCTTCAGGGTCGGCAGCACCAGCCGTAAGGCTTTCGCAATATGGTGGCATCGTGGCGCTCACTTGGAGCTCATGAGGCTCTCGGGGGGCCCTCTTGGGAGGTCCTCTCGGAGCCTTCTCGCAGCGTCTTTGGTGTCTCTTGCAGGCCACAGGGAGCCGTCTTGGGGCCCTCTTGGGCTGCCTTGGGGGCATCTGGTGGCATCTTGGCGCACGCTTGGCCGACGAAAATCAACGAAACGAGTCTTACGCGAGATGGGATACCGATCTCACGTGGTGGCTTACGCGGGCAGCCAGCGCGGCACGCGACAGTGGAAGCGAGGGCGCTTACACGCGACCTTAGGCGGCAACTCATGGGAGCCTCCCAAACCATCTTGCTGGCTCTTGCGACTCGGCGCCAGCCGACACGAATCGGCGCTAATCGGCGCTAAATCGACGCCAACTGACGCCAATCGACGCTGAAGAGACGCTAAGTCGGTGCTGTGTCATCGACTATCAGACGCTAATCGACGCTAGTCGCTAGTGCGCTCTGGAGACTGAAGTACGAGGGTATACAACGCTCCATGAGCTGCTATTGAACAAAGATGCAGGGAGGAGGAATGGGGGAGGGCACCACGACGAAGGCGCCATAGATATGGGTGCGGTTTGTCGGACCCCGAGGGGGGCTCTCAGTCGAGCGGGGACCCCCATCCGACAACACACACCCATAGTCCCCCCAGAACTCCACAAGGAGAAATCTGGGGGTCTCATAGGTATGGGTGCTAGTTGTCAGCGCATGATTTAAAATGGTACCCAGGCCCCCCTCGCGTCGCAAATCAAAACACGATGTTGCATGGCATCTTCTTGGAGATCTTCGTGAGATCGATGCATGGTGGTTCAGCTAATAATGCCACGAGGCCAGGCTGAGCGGGACTACGACCGGGATAGAGCCATGACAAACAAGATTCAGCCGAATTAAACGGGACTATGCCAAGGTGGGCTGGTTTTCGACCACGGATAGACCAGCGCCGATGCTGACTTCAATCTCGCAGGAGTGGTATCGTAAGGAGAGAAAGATGCTGAAATCTTTCCATCCTCTGCAAAATGCCTCACTGGGCACATTGGCCGTCACACAAAGGCTCGTGCCATATTGTTGCTAAGTTCGGTTTTCACAAAACCCTTCGGACCGTCGGGCCTCAGGACCACCCGTGAAACTGGGTCGGCGAAGAAAGACTGGTCCTTCAAAGGCGGTCAAGATCTCTGAGGCAAGCGGACACACCAAGTCGCACCGTCGAAAGTATGGGTAGCAGGGTAACAATCATGGAAGCGCCACCTAATTTCCCGACAGCGCCCGGCTGAGGACAAGGAGGGGCTTCGTGGGGATTCTGGGAAGTCCTGCGGAGTTTCAGGAGGGTCTACCAAGCTGCTCTGAGGGTCTGCTCCTCCACCGCCTCCTCTTCCTCCCCTGGTATCCTGTCTCCTCGTCCTCCTCCTCCTCCTCCTCCCTCGTCCTCCTCCTCCTCCTCCTCCTCCTCCTCCTCCTACTCCCCTTTCACCTGCTCCTTCCCATCCCCCCTTCTTCGCAAACCTCAAGAAGTTTCTCTGGGTAGCAACTCCTGGAAAGCCTCCTGATGCCCCCGAACACCACACATGCCTTCCTGCAAGCCTCCTCCTGCTCCCCCTCGTCGTCCTCCTCCTCCTCCTCCTCCCCACTGGACCTCTGGACATCATCGCAAAGGTGGGTCTCCCAATGGCGTCTCGCTCAAGTTTCCTAATAATGCGAAAGAAAGAACCACACAAAAATCCCCTCACCGGGGGACGGGGCTGGCGAGACCGCCCGGTTCGGCAGCCACGCCGCCCGAGACTTCCCCCACAGTTTATTCCAGAACCGTGCGTCTCGCTCGAGGGTTCTCTGAGTGATGGAGAGGGCAGCAGAAAGGTCCTGTCCTGCCAAAGGGGCGGCGGGGGAGAACGGGGAGTCCGAGACCGCCCAGTCCGGCAACCGGTTCGCCTGAGACTGCCTGAATGCGCCAGAGACTTCCTCAACTCATTCGGGAATCGCGCTCTCGCCTCATTGCCGGCTACCGCAAGGGTGGGCGGGACAACACCCTACCGCACTTCGTGCGCCTCCGAAGGGCCCCTAGGAATGCATATGGAAACACGTGTTCACTCGCCGACCTCCTTATCCTCGATCCGCCTCTTCACCTGTGCTGCTATGAATTACTAGGGTGCCCGTGAGGGCGGCTGCACAGAGGATGCCACTCTTGTGATTTTTGCGCGGTGGGATCCCTTGCCTGGCGCATCGTCGGGTGGGGCCCGCGGCCCGTGGGGGCGGCCGCGCAGAGGAGGGCCCCGAAAACGGCACCAAGATGCCGAACACTCAGCGAATACCGAACACATGCAGTCGCGCGGGTGGCCCTAGAGATACAAGAACGCCCGAAGACCTGAATCCTCGGTCCTCGATCCTTGAGTCTCGATCCTCCCTCCTCCTCCTCCTCCTCCTCCTCCTCCTCCTCCTCCTCCTCCTCCTCCTCCTCCTCCTCCTGTCGCTGTCGGATTTCTATTCGAACGCAACCATTCCTCCTCCTCCCTTCCCCCTCATGCCATTCCTGTCCCGCCAGGCGCGGAGCCCGCCTCGCGGCCACCCGCCGCGCAAAGCCCCCCCCCGCGGCGTGCCACGTGGCCGTGCCGCTTGGCGGCCATGATCGTCTCCCGGGCGTTGTCGGCGACCTTCCCGCCAAGACGTCCGGCGCCTCGACGTTTTCGCCGATGCGTGGGCCCCGGGACCCTGTCGGCTGTCACAGACAACAGTAAACTGCATGAGCGCAGATTCTCTGAGGTCCGCGTGGACATCTTGGATCGGCGCTGGGCCCCCCTGGCGGCGCCTCCGTCGCCGCCCTGGGGGCCCTCCGTGCGCCAGGGAGGGGGGCCCAGTGCGAATGCAAGACATCCGCGCGAACGTCAGAGAAATCATGTTTATGCAACTTTTCGTTCTTCGGTGTTGACGGAAGGGCTACACGTGGGGTGAAGAAGCGTGCGCCTCTCGTGCACCCACTGGGCCCGCGGTGGCAGACTATGGGGCCGCTCAGGACCCCGTTAGGGGCACCTTCCTGCAGTCCTCGGGTCCCCTGCCTTTGTTGTCCGCCCGTTGCCGTCCGCCCGAACCCCTGCCGGTGTTTCATCCCGAGCAGTCGCCTGACAGCCCCGAGGATCAGCGTTGGCCCCCAGAGGCCACGAGTGACGCCAGACCAGCCGCTCCCATTGGTTCGAGGCGCTGGATGTCTCGGCAACCGCGGGCAGCAGATCACTCTCGACAGCTTATCGAACGCAAATAGAATGAATCACGCAAAAGGGGGGGGAGGCAGAAAAAGAGCCTGCCTTTCGCGAGACGTGGGGAGTGGGGTGTGTGTGATCATGATTGCGACGGCGCGCGCGGGGAGAGATCAGAGCTGGCCATCAGCCGGCTCGAACCCCTCCTCCTCGGCCTCCTCCTCCTCGTTCTCCTCCTCCTCCTCCTCCTCCTCCTCCTCCTCCTCCTCCTCCCCCTCCTCCTCCTCCTCCCAGGAAGAGCCCAGAGTCGGATCGGCGATCGAAACGAATCGGATCGGCGGTAATCGGCAGCGCAGTCTGTAAAAAAATGAATCGGCGGACATCGGCAAGCTAGTATGCCTCCAATGAAAAACCGGAACCCACGTCGGCATCCCAGGTCGAATCGAATTGGAATCGGAAACCATCTAAGTCGAATCGAATCGAATCAGGGGACGCGAAACGAGCCCCCTCCTCCTCCTTCTGCTCCTGCTCCTCCTCATCATCCTCCTCCTCCTCCTGCTCCTCCTCCTCCTTCTGACCCACGATGCGCGGAAGATCGGTCCCTGGATCTCTGCTGGGGCCCCTCCTGGCTCCCCGCTCTCCGCCTCCTCCTCCTCTCGAGGCCTCCCCAATAGGGTCCGAGTAGACGGGGTCGAAAGATCGCGCCGCATCGTCGACGCATCGCCGATGTATCCGGGCAGGGCTCGAGCTAGACAGTGTTGTTTGTTTTCCTGTTGGTTCCGTTCCTTCGCTATGTCTTCGCTCTGCCGTTGCTGTGAAACGAAATCAAAGCGACAACGGTCCACGAAATTGCCAAACACAATTTAGCTGGAGCCCTGCATCCGCGATGCACCCGCGATGCATCGGTGACGCAATGTCGACGTCGGCGATGCATCGGCGACGTCAGCGCAGAGGCGGCCGGGCTCCACGTCGAGTCACATCGCCGATGCATCGGCCATGCGGGGCGATCCTCGGATCCCATCTGCTCGGACCCCACCTGGGAGGCCTAGACTGCACAGAGGCCGCCTGGTGCGTTGCTTCATGGGGGGGGGATCGAGGATGGGTAGTGAAAACACGTGCACCTCTCGTGCCCCTTTTGGGCCCTATGGGGAGCCCTTTAGGGCCACTTTCGGGCACAAAAAGGTGCACCTTTCGTTACCCCCCCCCCCCCCGATTTTCGGCGGCGAGCCCAGGGGGAAATGAGAAGGGGCGGGCCTTCTCAGAAGGCTCGGAATCCCCTGGCCGTCTGAGAAGTTTTCTAAGCCTTCCCCGAAGACGCTGAAGACCTCTTAGAAGGCGCGGGGCCCTGCTGAGACCAGGGCCTTCTGAGAGGGCCGTCTTTCTTTCCCATTCCCCCCCCTCGCTCGCCGCCGAGATTTATCGCCCCCACGTAACGCAACGCCCGTCCGCCCGTCCAGGGCCCCTGGGCCTCCTGGAGCTGCTCCCACTGCTCGGGCGTGACCTCGCAGCTGTCGTCGAGGCGCAGCCCCTCGATAACGCGGAGCGCTCCTCCTCCTTCTTCTCCTCCTCCTCCTCTTCCTCCTCCTCCTCCTCCTGCTCCTCCTCCTCCTCCTCCTGCTCCTGCTCCTGCTCCTGCACCTGCTCCTGCTTGTCCTCCTCCTCCTCCTCCTCCTCCTCCTCCTCCTCCTCCTCCTCCTCCTCCTCTCCCTCCTCCTCCTCCTCCCTCCTCTCCCCCCTCCCTCCTCCGCGGTGCAGCCGGCGGCCCCCTCCGCGGCCGCCTCGGGCTCGCGAGTGTCGGCGCGAGCTAGCAAGCGAGCGCGCGCGCCTGCGATGGGGCTCTGGCGGCTGTGGTAACTGGTTGGTGGCCTTCGTGATAGGAGGAGCAGTGACTTTCTCTACGAGGGGGGATGGGCCTGTCTAATGTCATTTATTCTCATTATTGGCCTTCGCACGTGGAAATATTAAATCTGTGTACGGTTTAACTGAGGGGGGTGGTTCCGGGTTCCGGGTGAAACGTCGGTTCAAATTCAGACCTGGTCCCACAAAGAGGTTTCGTGAACTCTTGGCCCCAACCTTCCTGCAGAATTACTTAATTACTCTTTTTGAATTACGCGCTGTTGGATTCTGAGTTCCTGGTTCTGCGCTTCCCGCAAACAGACCCGCGCCAATTCCCCCCCCCCCCGTGGCCCCGCCCCGAAGATGCCACCTCCCGGTTCCTGGTTGCTGCTCGCCAAAGGGACCCACCCTTCCACCGCGCCCCAACCTGTCACTGGCGTCTCTGGATTATTTGGCGCCCTTCGCCAAGAAGGGACCACCCTCTCACGCAGTTCCAGCTCGGAGATGGTCTCTCTTGATACCTGGGTGCCAGTCGCCAAAGGGGCCCGATTCTTCCAGGGCGGTGCCGCACCAGATGGGCGGCCCGCGGCGCAATGAACACATATTCTTGGGTTCGGCGCCGAACCCAGCAGGAGGAGGAGGAGGAGGAGGAGGAGGCGGAGGAGAAAATTCTTGGGCTTGGCGCCGAGCCCCCTGTATTTTGACATGGCGGCCTCTCGCGCCTTGTGGCCGCCCCTCCGAGGAGAAGAAAGAGAAGGAAAGGCAGAGGTGAGCAAATCGGCCAGGGCGCTCCTTCTCCACTCGCGCTGCAACTGAACACGTAATTACACCCAAGCTAGATCAGGGAGTGGGGCGCCAGTAGCTTCTGGCGCTGCACCTAGTCGGTGCCTCCCCCATGCAGCCCGTTCCCTCTTAGTTGTCAGCATGCCCTCCGCGCGCTGGGGCGCTTCCTCCACGGGGTGCGCCCCGGGCGGCGGGGCGGGCGCCAATAATTTCGCCCCTCCGCTCTGTTCTTTCGGACCCCATCGACACGCGCGGCGGCGCGAAGGACGCGGGCGCCCCGGCGCGCGCGCAGCGGCGCGCATCGCGACGGAGATGGGCGCGATGGACGCAGACCCACTTGCGGGGCGGGCGCTGGCAAGTCTTCCCAGGAGGGCCCCATCCTCGCCGCCGCGGCGCTTCCTGCCGAGGGCTCCCCTGGGGAGCCTGACTCGCCCCGCCCGTAATCAGACGGCCTCGCCGAACTGCTCCGCGGTCGGAGGAGATTTGCAGAATAGGGGCTGGCGGCCCTGGCGGCGGAGGCAGATGAGGTCGGCGGCGAAGACCACCAACAATCTCCCGGCCACGAGCCCCCCGGCGGAGGAGACGAGGAGCAGAAGGGGCTGACTACGGGTGCCGCCAACTACCCCCCAGCCACGGTTGCCTGCGTCGACGCGAGACAGAGCTGCCCCCGCGGCGGACAGACGAACCGCGAGCAAGGACCACCCATGCCGCAGCTGCGCCGCCCCGGCGGTCTGCTGGGCCCCCCTCCCTCCGGGGCCCCGCCGGGCTCTGGAAGGGCGCGCGCCTGCCCTCAGACTCATGTTCGGTGACGCCTCGGCCAGGGTGCGCGGTGGCACTGGGGTTGCAGGCGCGGGGAGAGGGCCCTCCTCGCCGCCTCAGAAGGATTTTAGGACGGAGTGGCACTACTGCGGGCGCATCAGGCGCCCCTCGTCGCCACGGCCAGATATCGGTTCTCCGGCGCGCCGCCCCGCGCATGTAGATCGCGCGCCGCTGCCGAGACGGGGCGGCGCCTGGCGTCCCACCTCGCGCCCCGCAGGGACTGCGTCGACCCGCGGGGCAGCGCCGACGGGCATGGCGACTGGCATCCCCCCTCTTCCACGACCCCTTCGCCCCGCCCCACCGCCCAAGCGGCGGCGAAAGCTGGGAGCTCGAGCGCCGAGGATTACCGCGGTGCCCCCCAGGGCGGGGGGCGCGCCACCCATGTCCCAGGCGCCATCTGCCACGCCCCCCTCAATGCCGACGGGGCCCCGGCCGCCGCAATCGAAGAGATGCAGCGAGCAGGCGGGGGCCCTGCGCGCGGTGCCCCCCCCCCTTCTCTCTGCAGACAGCCGGAGCACGCAGATCGCCGCCCCCCGCGCGCAGACGGGGCGGACAGCGGCACGTTTAGTCCCCCTCTCGACATGACGGCCTCAGGACTGCCGCGCAATAGCGCCGAAGCAGCAACTCCCCCCCGACAGAATGGAGCGCCGCTCCCGAGCCCCCAGGGGCGCGCAGGTGACCGTCGAGCTGGCGAGACGGAGGGCACAGGTGCCCCGGCGGCAGCCACTGCGCGGGATATGACGCGCGGACGCCCCCCCCAGCCGCAATGCGGAGGCATGCCAATCCACCGCCCAGAGCGGCCCTCTCCCCGCCGCCGCACACCTTGCCGAGGTGCCCCCCCCGTCGGAGGAGATTATCAAAGGAAAGCTGGCGTCCGTGGAGTCGGGGAGCCGATTTGGTCGGCGGCGAAGACCGCCCACGACCACCCCGCCTCGCGCCCCCCCGCGGAGGAGATGGGTAGCAGAGGGGGCCCGCCGTGACAGCGGTGGCGAACGCTAGGGCCGAGGATTACCGCAGTGCCCCCAGGGCGGGGAGCGCGTCGACCCCTCCCCTGGTGTCTTCTGCCACGACCCCCTCAACGCCATCGGAGCCCTGCGCGACCTGGGCCAGGTTTTGGGCAACGCCATCGGAGCCCTGCGCGACCTGGGCCAGGTTTTGGGCCCCGGCCAGCGCGTCGCCGCCTTCCTTCGCCTGTCTCCCCCATTCAGGCTGCAGCGGGCCCTCCGCGCGCAGGGTGGCTTCCGGCGCGGCATGCGCCCCTGGCTGCGGGGAGGGCACCATTTTTCACAATCGGTGCACTTATTCGGCGCCCTCCCTCACTTCCTGCAGACAGCTCACGGCCTAGTACTGCGGCCCCCCGCGTGGAGGCGGATGCCCCCCCGACGCGCTCGGCGGTGCGCAGGGCGACGCGGGTGGGCGGGGGCCCCGCTCTTCCCTGGAAGGTCTTCTCCTCGCCGCCGCGCACCTTGCCGATTGTTCTCCATGGGCGCCTGACTCGCCCCGCCAGTCGACGGCCTCGTCGAGGTGCCCCCCGTCGGAAGAGGAGAACTCCCGTGAAGGCTGGCGGCGTCGGCGAAGACCTCCGACGACCCCCTGGCCACGCGCCCCCCCCGCGGAGGCGGCGGGAAGCAGCGGGGCCCGCCGAGGCTGCGGTGACGGGCGCCTGCACCGAGGATTACCGAGGATAGCCACCCCCGTCCTAGGCGTCTTCTGCCACGCCCCCCTCAATGCCATCGGAAGACCGGAGCCCTGGCCACCACAATCAAGTAGGTACAGCGAGCAGGCGGTGGACCAAATATGGCCTGCGCCAGGTTATTGTACTCTGCGCGGCGGGGGCACCAGGGGCCCTGGCCGACGCGGCGCTGCCTTCCTTCGCATGTTCCCCCCCAATCAGGCTGCAGCAAACCCTTGGCACCCTCCACCGCTTTGCTGCGCTCCGTGCCTGGCCAGCCGACCTCGGCTCCTTCTTGCCGGGACCTCCCTCGCCGGCCTGGTTATCAGGTCGGCCTCTCGCCCATGCACGCACCAGCTGCACTGGTGTCATGGCTGCTGCCGCGCAACCGTGGCGCCTTGCACTGCCCTCCCCCCTCCCCGCGCCTCGAAAATCACCAGGTCTCGGCGCCCGCTGGCCCACTTGCTGGCCCTTCCCAGCTCCACGCCGTGCCCCCATGGTGGCGTGGCTCCACATCTTTGTCTCATGTCCGTCGCCTACACGTCGGCCGCTCTTGCCGTGCTCATCGCATCACACTCGTGGCGGCCAGCGCTCCGCCTTTCTCCCCTTCCCATCGCGCCTCGCAGGTCACCAGGTCTCGGCGCTTTGCCTAGCCGCTGGGTTCGCCAGCGCCGCCGGTTCCCCCATTGGCGTGGTGATTGCATCAACATGTGACAGGCATTTCTCATTGCAGCCATTTGCTGCTTGTCAGCCCCGTCTGGTATTCCTACGCATGGGTTGATGTTGGTTGGCTGGCCTGGACGTTCCATACTTGCCCATTCGTGGCACCTGCCCCCACACGGTTCTGCCCGGCCGCCGTCGGGATGCCCTCCCTCCCAGCTGCTGCCCGGCGCCGCGGCTGGCTCCCCCCCCCCCCGGCGTCCGCCCCGCCGCAGCCGGGACTTGCCTGAACGGGCCCTGTTTCCACTCTTCCCGTTGCGCCAGGGTCTTCTCCTTTCCTCCCGCGCATTGCAGCCCAATTTGCATTTCACGCGCCCCACTGATGCCCGATCGCTGGAGAGGCAACCTCTGCCCAGCCGCCGACGCAAAAATTGTGTGTGTGCGTGTATGTATGCATGCATGCATGCATGCATGCATGCATGCATGCATGTATGTATGCATGCATGTATGTATGTGTGTATGTATATGTGATAGTATGTGTGTATGAATGCATGTATGTATGTATGCATGCATGCATGCATGCATGCATGCATGCATGTATGTATGTATGTATGTATGTATGTGTGTGTATGTATGTATGTATGTATGTATGTATGCATGTATGTGTGTATGTATGTATGTATGTATGTGCGTATGTATGTATGTATGTATGTATATATGTATGTGTGTATGCATGCATGCATGTATGTATGTATGTATGTATGTATGTATGTATGTATGCATGCATGTTTGTATGTATGCATGCATGCATGCATGCATGCATGTATGTGTGTATGTGTATGTATGCATGAATTGATGTATGTATGTGTGTATGTATGTATGTATGTATGTATGTTTGTATGTATGTACGTTTGTGTGTATGTATGAGTGGGTGTATGTATGTATGTACGTATGTACGTACGTACGTACGTACGTATGTATGTATGTATGTATGTAGGTAGGTAGGTAGGTAGGTAGGTAGGTAGGTAGGTGTGTATGAGTGTGTGTATGCATGTATGTATGTATGTATGCATGTCTGTATGTATGTGTGTATGTATGTATGCATGCATGTATGTATGTATGTAAGTATGGATGTATGTATGGATGGATGGATGATGGATGGATGGATGGATGGATGGATGGATGGATGGATGGATGGATGGATGTATGTGTGTATGTATGCATTAGGTATGTGTGTGCGTGTGTGTAACTATGTGTGTGGTGTGTGTGTGTGTGTGGTGGGGGGGGGGGGCTGTGTGTTCACCTCCATCTGCCGACCGCGCCTGAGGTTCCTCTGCGCCGCCGGCTTAACAAGTGTGTTGTGTGCTGTGTGGTGTGTATGTGTGTGGTATGAGTGTCTGTGTGTGCAGAGGTGGGCGTGGAGCCACATGCGGACCCTGCCACGGGGGCCTTGGGCCTTCGGTGGAGCTCCCTGCGGGGCCACGCCCGAGCGTTACCCGTCACGGGAAGACGCTCAGGGGTGCCAGCGCCCAGGGGTCAGCCACCCCCGACCGGTTCTTGGTGGCAGGAGTCCCTGTTTCTCCGCTGACTGTGGGCGTCCGCGCCGGGCTGTAGAAGAGCGCCAGACAAACATCGGGCCGCGTCGGGTCGTCGCAATCTCGCCATCTGAATAGCGAGCGTAGGGTCATTCGAGGGGCGGGGCCTCGGGGCGCTCGGGGCGCTGCTGTGCCAGGGAACCGTGGCCACACGCGCCTTGCGGCAATTTTGGCGGCGGAGGCCGCTCAGACGGCGGGTGCGGCTCCCGCGATGTCGCGCCCGCGGCAGGGGGCTCGGACGAGCCGTGAATTGCTTCCCTTCCTGAATCTCATCCTCCTCATCCTCCTCCTCAGGATCCGTCTTGGGCCCCTCATGGATATCGTGGATGCGGCGTGCTGGGGGCCACTGGAGAAGGGCCGCTTGGGGGCGTTTGGGTCTGTACCTCTCCATTTGAGAGGTTATCTTATGTATGCGTGTCCCTTGGACCTCTCCAGGAAGACTCCTGGGACAGGGGCCCTACAGGATGTAGGTGAGGTCTGGACCAGGCTAGGGCGTGGAAGGCACACGTGCCCAACAAAAACGCAGGCAGCCCCGCAGGAGGTGCCCAGACGGACCGAGCGCGCCGCCCGCTAGGTCCCCAAACAAGGAAAATGGGCAGAACAAGAAAACGAGGCAGACAAGGGAAAGCGAGGTGGGCAAAGAGCAAGTCTGTCCCCCTGGGTCACGGGCTGCACCTCGCAGGCAGGGGGCGATCGTTTCTGGCGTTCAGTACTTCCGTTCGCTGGGATTGGGGGGAATCCCCGTTCGTGCCCTGGCCAATCGGGGCAAAGAGAGAGAGAGGGCCCAGGGCGGATGGCGCCTGGCTCTGGACCCACGTGGAAGGCAGCACGGTGTCGTCCCAGCACGCTCGGCCCCCCGCTCGGGGGCCCGCCCAGGCGTAGTTCGCCCTCTAGTGGGGCGCGCCCCAGGGCCGCTGATGTTGAGGGGGAATGGTAAGGGGGACCAGCTTAGGGAGGGGCACGTCGACGAGGAATCGGCGATGCATCCCCGATGGGACGGCGATAGGCCCTCGATGGCGGATCCGCACGCTCCTGGGCGGGGCGGACTATCGGGCTCCAATCGGCCATCAAAGGGCGATTGAGGGTCGATGCGTCCCCCCCTGAGCCCACCACTCCCCTGAGACGCGGGGGCTTCCCAAACGGGGCCGGGGCAGCAACGGCGGCCAGCCCAAGCATGTTTCCAAACTGTTTGGGCCTGTTGGATGCCTCTCGTCGCCATGGCTGGATCCGCCCTGGAAATCAGAACCGGCATGGATCCGGGGGCCGATTTTGAGCGGATCTGGGCGGGCGCGATCCCATGGATGCGCGAAACCACGCGCATCCGTGGGATTGCGGCCAGCGAGCCCGGGATGGTGAGGCGGGGTGGATGTGGGTGGATGTGGAGGAGAAGGAGGAGGAGGAGGAGGAGGAGGAGGAGGAGGAGAAGGAAGAGGAGGAGGAAGAAGGAAGAGGAGGAGGAAGAAGAGGAGCACGAGCCTCCGATGAAAGGGACGGGACGGGGACAGGCGGACAAGAAAGGGACGAGACGAGGGCAGACGTCCTTCGGTCATTGTCTGAATGGCTGGATGCAGACTGGCTAACTACGCGCGAGCAGCGCACGCACTTTGTGGCTGCGCCTCGCAAGTACACGAGCACGGGCGGTCAGGAGACTCAGAACCCCCATTGGGTCCCAATCTCCCTCCAGCACGCAGGGTGTTGAAGCTGGTATTTATTAAATCATGAACTAGCAGCAACCTCATTTTTTCCTCCGTCCGGCATCTCGGGTATATTATAAACAAACATACGCTGGTGGCAGGCAGGGAGGGAGCGAACAACGGACGGCAAAAAAGGGAGCAAGGCAGGATAAAACAAATAATGGTCCACCCCGTTTCCGCCGAGAGCACAACAACCGAATGTATATATACCGGTACCCTGACGGAACTTGCGCGACGTGAGCCACGCATGAGAAAATCTTACGGTTGGCAGTAAGCAGATTCAGGAAAACTCGATCACCGACTGGGGGCGGCAAGGCTAACAAGTACCGAACACGTTTCAGAAGAACAGGTACAGGAGAGGGTACATGGAGCCGTCTTCTGTTTCAGGATCTTGTATAATTCCCTCTGAACACAAGACACATCAGGATCTGACAGTTGAGGGGCGGCAGCGGTAATATCACTCCAAGTGAACATCATAGGTCACCCTATGGATTCTGGCCATCGTGTCGCCATACTCACTGGAATGTACAGCAGCACGAAAGATGGCAGCTTTGGACGAGCAGACAAGACTCCGAGGCTCAGACATGAGACCGATTGACGAAATAATACGCAATAACTGACTTGGCATGGCGTGTCTCGGGGGCGCCGTGAGACGTTGCAATGCGCCATGCTCGGCTGTGAACACAACATCAGAAGGAGTCCCAGGAGGATACAACTGCCAGGTGTGCGAAGGACAGGCACTGCGAACACATCAAAAGCACGCGGATTATGGACAAGCGAGAGGTGCAGGGATCGAATGTGAGCGACACGACTGGGCAGCTTCTGCCCGGGCCCTTCCCAAGATGCGGCGCAGCCCCCAGGCCCCAAGTACAATCCCAAGTATTTGCCGGGCGACTCAATCCGTTACTTGCGGGTATTGACTCCCAGACGACGCACGGCGCGAACAACGTGATTCTTGTCGGTATGGCCAAGAAGAACGAGCGCGCACTTGTCCTTATTCAGACACAAGCCCGCGACTGCGGCAGAATGCAACATCCACGTGAGAATGACAGGCAGCGAGAGGAAGACATCTGCAAACGCTGCGCCAACGTCATCAGCAAATGAGTCGAGAACAGCGGGATGGGATGCGATCCGTCTCTCGAGCCAGAAAACATGGATCAATAACGAAAGCAAAGAGCAGGCCAGCGAGCGGACGCCCTTGCTAACCTCCCCACTCGAATGGTCAAACCAGGAAACTTCAAACCACTAAACATCAAGCCGACCTCAATCAACGTCGACGCAAAGGGACCTGGGGGCCTGGAGAATGAAGCCGGGGACACTTGAACAAGCACGTTGTGCAGCCACTCATGGCTATGCGCGGGAAAGGCAGCAGCGATGTCTAAGAAGAGAGCCCCACCGCGCAGGCGCACCTTCTAAGAGCACCATTCTAACATTCAGGGGCCCAGCCCTATGTTATTCTCCCAGATGCCACGACCTTCTGTGAAACCACAATGTGTTTTCCTAATACCATATTGGGCTTGCTGCGCGAAAGGCATGCCGGCACAGGGCGAATATACGTTGTCGCTTGTGATGGACATCGCCAATATGCGCGCATGACCTGGCCCAAGAATACTAGTTCCATCCTCGTGAACGCCACGCTTCAACAGGATCGCAGCAGTTCCCTTGTTAAATCGAGCGGGTGACTTCTAATGATTAAGAAGAGCAAAGTACCCCTGGAATATTATCTGGCGAGTGCTGGGGCTCGCAAACTTCCAGTCGCTGCATGGCAACCCATCTGGCCCTGGGGTGGAATCGTGCTCGGCGGCCAGATTGCCAGCGAACGTACCGAAGTGTGGTCGCCACTCTATACCAGGGGCAAGCGGACCAAACGCGCTGGACAAGTTCGCGCAAACCCTCGTCCTGCAAAATGTGTTGCCCCGGAGGTTCGCCATGAACGGGTCGCCAGTGAGTGGCGAGATTGGCCGCGGACTGCCGCGTGGAAATGGGGGCCGCGCTCTCGGGGCCACCGCCGGCAAACCTGAACATTTTCCGCCTCGAAGGCGACCGGGACTTGATCGACCCAATATACTTGGCGGCCCTCGGGGCCGAAGTGCCGGCACGCTCGGGATTCTGCCCCAGCGGGGCAGCATTGGCCGCCCTGGCTTCCTCGCGACGGACGCCGACTGGGCGCAGCCAGCAAGGGAGGGGAATTATCGGGCAGATCATCGGGCAAGTCGTCGGCAAGCCCGCCCGCCGGCGGCAAAACATCGCCAAGCCAATCATCGGGCATATCATCGGCCATGTCTTCGGGCAGTCGGGCAACCCGCCAGCGGCAGGAGTAGCGGCACACATGGGCTCCTGCGCATCAACTGCCCCGCCCCGACATAACGATGCAATCCACTCATAAAGACCGACGTAATCATTAAATACCATTTTGCCCATGTCGTACACGTCAGCAATCTGAGGCGCGCAGTCAATGCGCTGATGCATAACCTGCTCGTGGCCACTGCGAGCAGCTCGAGAGAATGCCCAAAGAACGGCGATCTTCTGCGCGACGGTACGGGGCCCAAGCCGAATCGAACGCTCCTGGGTGATCCTCGATGCAGGGCGCATAGCTGCCTTGACACCATCGATCGCCAGAAAAAGGTCATTGGAATTTCAGAAACTACACCAGCAGCAAGCCCAGGAGAGTCGGGATGCTTGGCGACCCAGCGGAGAACATAAGGACCCAACTTGGACTCAATCATGATCTGGACGTACGCTGCTACATGATCGGACGGGAACTCTAACTCATGGGCATGTCCGTGAACTCCTGACCTAGCATGCCAATCCAAGCGAACAGCCGGGGGTGCATTCCAGTAGATACGACCAAGGCGGGCAAGAGTGTGCAACTGGGGAACGTCGTCCTTGCATCTAACCGTCCGATGCGTCACATCTGCCTGCAGGATGTCCACATGCTGGCCGAAAAGAGAGGCAAAACAATCAAGCGAAAAAGAGTCGTCATCGGTCGCCGCTTCCCCGCTGACGCAGTGCCTGACCTCGTTCCCCCCTCAAATTGCAATCTCCGCCCGCAGTGCTCAACGCCGGGCCAGGGCCAGAAAAAGGGCACGAGAAAAACGAGCAAGCAGGTGCCCACCAGCAGGGCCGATCAGCAGGGCGCGAGAGATCAGGCTCAAGATGAACGGCACCAACCGACTGGGATCCACCAGGTCCGCGCAGACAAACGACAACGCATTTCCCTCGAAGAACGGACTTAACGCATAGGCGGGAAAAGGGACTGACAAACGGAACGCGCGATACTTAACCCCCCCCCCCCCCCCCAGAACGGCGATCGCGGCAAGACGAACCCACGTGATAAGAACTAAGGTGCTCTCCGGCTAGAGCTGCGAGGTCGACTTTGGACCCGTGAGTTCCTTCACCCATGATTATCTTATACTGCCAATAGAGACGGGGAAGCCGCGAGCGCTGCTTGCGCTGACGAACGCGTCAACCCGACAAGCTCCCATAGAGGGCAGCAGGATTCCAACGCGCAGCAGAACAGTTGCCTGGGATGCGCCAGGGCCGGCGCAAGACAGGGCGAGAGGGCAGGGCGGCAGAGAACGGAAACGCGGAGGAACTGCACTTCCTCGCGCCAACAGGAATACGAGGCGCAGACCCAACAGCCTCAGCATTCTCAGGCGGCCCAAAAGTAGAACTAGAACTGGGCGAGGTGGAGCTCGACCCAGAGGAAAACGCGGAGGAGGTCCTCTTCCTCTTGGCAACAGCATCGCAGCCATGGACAGGAGGAAGACCATCATGCAGGCGTCACCCATGCCGTTCACAAATATTCGGCTCCGCACATCGGGGCCGCCAGGCTGTTCTTGTCGAGCTTGCTCTGGGCCAGCTCGGGGCAGGCGTTCAGGGCGGCCTCGGGGATCTCGAACAGTTAGGCATCGGGCATCACCATGATCGTGAAGGCGTCCTTCCCACCTGCTGCGTCTGCGCCCGGTGACGGCTTGACTAAGCCGAAGATCTCTTCATCATCAGACCATGCCAAATGGATTGTACCAGCGCGGGAGTTGGAACCAAGTCGGTACGACCCATTCCACTGGTCATGCTCATTAAGGATTGTACTCGTCTTCTCCCAGCACTTGCCGAGAGCGAAACTTTTGTGCCGAACGTGGAGCAGTTGATCAGATCCAACACGAAGCGGCATGTCCTGTCCACTCTTAGGGTCCCTCCAGAGGAGGTGGACAGCAGAACCCGCATCCTTGTCCTTGCCACAGCTGAAGAATGCCCTGGCGGCCTCCTCGGACTGCAAGCGGATGTTGTAGCAGAACTTGTAACTCTGGCACTGAGGGGCTGCGCCGTCAAACAATGAACCTGCGGCTGCTTTGAGCAGCTCGCAGTGTCTCGCAAAGACACGGTTCAGCAATGTCCTGGCAAATGCCCGAATACAGATCTTGCCGCGGTCACCGACTTCGCCACCGTCTCAATGCGGAGAGTGACTATGAGGCTCAGGTGCAGCACGAGCGGGTGGCGCAGGTTGAGCAGCGTAGATGGACCCGTCGGAGCATGCCTGGGCCGCTTGCACCCGTTGGGCCCCAGGAAGCGGCTCCAAGGGTCTGGGCCACCAACTTCTACACTGTCGGAAGTGAGAGCGGAGAAACAGACCCAGCAGTGGAGGCGATCGCTTTCATGAGCGTGCTCCCCATGGTTATCAGCTTGGCGTCCGACTGTGCAGCGGTGACCATCTGGGACGGATGGGCGGCAATTCTTGGGAAAAGGTTGTCCTCGTCGAGCGGCTTGGCAGTGGACGTGTTCCAGCACAGCAGGCGCGGCTCCTCGACCGATACCCTCAACTTCTGCTGCTCCAGCCGCAGCTCGGCAATCTGAGCATCAAACTTCTCGTCCAGCTCGTGGATCTTGCCGACGGTGGACTCGAGATCAGCACGGAGAGGAGCGACCTGGAGGGAGATGACTCCGCTGATGGCCTGCAGGTCCTCGGGCGAGAGAGCTGCGCACGCCATGGCGAAGAGAGACAAAGTGTCCGCTTGGGATCGACCCCAAGATGGCCCCTTCAAAAGAGGCTGCCCGCCCAAGCGCCCCAGCACTTAAGCCAAAATGGCTACGGAAGGGGGAGGAGGAAGAGGAGGAGGAGGTGGGAGAGAGCGCAGGGAAGTCTCTCCCTAGCTAACCCCCCCCCCGTGAACCTCCCCTGCTGGACCGCCCCCCCCCCCCTCGCCCGCCCCTTGGAAGCTACCCCCACTCTCCCCCCTCCATTTCGCGTTCCGGAAGCTACCCCCCCCCCCACCCTCCCTGTCCAACGTGGGGGGCTTGGCTACCCATCCCCCCCCTGGACCTCCCCTGCCGGAAGCCCTCCCCCATTCCTCTCCTCCACGGAAGCTACCGCCCTCTCTTCTTTTGCGCGCTCCGGAAACTGCCCCCTCCCTTTCCACAAGGTGGGGGGCTTAGCTACCTTCCCCCCCTTTGAACCCCCCCTGCCGTAAGCCCCTCCCCTCCCCACTTTTTGGGCTAAAGGGGGGGAGCTTGGAAGTCCATACCCCTCCTTTTGCTGAAGGAAACAATGCCGAATACCAACAGAGCGCCGAAAACCAAAAGGCCACCGAAAACCGAAACGGTGCGAGAACCGGAGAGCGCCGAAAACCGAAGAAACGCCGAAAACCAAAGGGCGCCGAGAACCAAAGCCAAAGGTGCGCCGAAAACCAAAAGGAGTGCCGAAAACCGATAGGGCGCCGAAAACAACAGAAGTTCCGAAGGCGGACAGGGCGCGGAAAACAAAAGGAAAAAAACGCCGAAAGCCAAAGGGTGTCGAAAACCGCAGGAGCGCCGAAAACCCAAAGGGAGGCGAAAACGAAAGAGGCGCCGACAACCAAAGGGGCGCCGAAAACCAACGATGCGCCGAAAACCCAAAAAGGGCGCCGATAACTCAAGGGGCGCCGATAACCAAAAGGGCGTCGAAAACCGTAGGACGCCAGAAACGAAACGCGCGCCGAAAGCCGAATGGCGCCCAAAACCAAAGGGGCGCCGAAAACCGAAGAGCGCCGAAAACCACAAGGGCGCCGAAATCTAAAGGGGCGCCGAAAATCAAAAGGACGCAGGAAACACAAGGGGCGCCGAAAACCAATAGGGCGCTGACAACCACAGGCTCGTCAAACACCGAAAGGCCACCGAAAACCAAAGTGGTGCCGAAAACCAAAGGGGCGCCGAAAATCAAAAGGGCGCCGAGAACCAACAGAACGCCGAAAACCAAAGGGGCGCCGGAATCCAAGTGGGCGCCGAAAACCAACTATGCGCCGAAAACAAAAGAGCGCGCAGAAAACTAAAATGGGCGTCGAAAATCAAAGAGGCGCCGAAAACCACAGGAGCCTCGAAAACCGAAGAAGCGCCGAAGATCAAAGACGCGCCGTAAACCAAACGCCTAAAACCACAAGCGCGCAGAAAACCAACGAGACGCCGAAAACCAATGGAAATAATAGCTTCGACGCCCCCCCTTCAGCCAGGGCCCTCCAGCTGGAAAAGCCGAAAGGAGGAGGGGGGGGGGCTAGCTTCGGAAGCCCCCGTCCACTTCGGAAAGTGCAGCTCGGGCTTACCCTGGGCCCCGAAAAGAAGGGGGGGGGCTTCCAACCCCGCCCCTTTAGCCAGGGACCCCCCAGCTAGAACATCCAAACAAAAGAAAGGGAAAGGGGGGTAGCTTCGGAAGTCGTCCCCCTTTTCCCAAGGGAGGGGGAAGGGGTAGCTTGAAGCTGGGGCCCCCCTTGTAGTCAGAAGTGTGCCACGAGCGCGCTCTTTCGGAGGTGGGCATGCAACACCCACCCACGATCCTTCTCGTCCTCCCGCCAGGTGCGTGCCAAGGGCTCGAAGATCGAGAGCCGTTCGAGGATCCAGTCGTTTGCGCGTCTCTGGTGGGCTCCTCGGCCTCCAGAAGTTATCCTCCCCCTCCTCCTCCTCCTCCTCCTCCTCCTCCTCCTCCTCCTCCTCCTCCTCCACCGCTTCCAAGTCTCTGGGGGGCGGCCCCTGGGGACCTGTGGGGACCTCCAGGGAGGGCCATGGCCTCTGCGCCCGATCCCGAACGGGTCGGCCCTGTGCACAGCCCAGGTGGAGAAAGGAGCGCGCCGCCAGAAATGCACGTCGCGGTCCTCCGCCCCCCTCCCCCTCCTGCTCCTGCTCCCGGAGAGCGCGGCAGCCAGCCCACGGTCTCCCCCCGCCATCGTCGTCCTCCTCCTCGTCCTCCTCTTCGTCGCCGTCCCTCTCGCCCTCCTAGTCCCCGAAGCTCGCCGTGATCCTGCTCCAGGCCTCTCCTCCTCGTCCTCGTCCGCCGCGTTCTCCTCCACTGCCGTTCTGGCCCAAACATTTTTCGGCTTGCGAGAGCAATCATCAGAGCGGCAGTCGCTCTCGCGGGTCTCTGACTCGGCACAATTCAGTTTGAGGGATCTCAACCCTCGTGTGAGCTCCTGCTGGGGCACCTCATTTCTCGTCTGGCCTTCTCGGACTACTCATGGCCACTGGCGGAGGCGGTGCTGGAGAAGGTGTGGCGGCCCCCGCGCACCCACCTGGGCGTGCAACCTGTGTAAGAGGAAAACGATTTGGGCTTCCAGGATACTGTGCAAGTGCGGCGAGAAAGCGCCACCCGATGTTGCTCGCCGTGCTCGTGAGCGTGATGCTGCTGCTGTGCGTGATCGTCCCCCTCAGCGCGACAAGCGGGTGCTCGGCGGCCGCGATGCTTTACAGAAGAGGTTCGGCGTCTGGGAATGGCTCTCCAGCGCCTGCGTTTACCACGGCAACCGACCAGAAGGAGCTGAGGTGTCGGAATCCAACAAACTCAAAGAGCAGATCAAGCAGCTCGAAGCATCGCTGGCCTCGTGCAAAGATGTGCCAAGCGATGTTGGAAAAGATGCGTGTGAGCATTTGGAGAATTAGCAGGTCGAAGCTGAGATACTGCTGGCTGCGACAAAACCTGAACTCACCCAACGCACGAACATCGGACATCGACTCACTCGGGCGACGCCCAAGACGGCCAAACTCGAGCAGAACGTGTCCGAGCAGCTGGAGATCGTGCGTAAAGCGGAGGAGAAGATCGACCTCTTGAGAGCACAGATCAAAGCGAATGACGAGGAGACGATTGTACTTACAGTCGGACTTGATGGGACAGTACGCGCGAGAGGACACAAGACCCTTCCGAGGGCCACATCGCCGCAGGAATGTAGGAGGCATGGGTCGCGAGATACAGGACACAAGGGTACCCTTGACTAGGGAGAGTCGACCTACTAATCAGGGCCGACTGTAGTCATGAGTTGGTCTCCAACTTTCCTTTGGCTCCTACGGTGTCTCTTGGTGTGGGTCCCCAGCGTCCTTGACAGACATCCTCAGAAGGAGGCGCCCAAGGCTTTCATGGAGTCTGAGGTATTCAAGGTGTTCTCTAAGATCTTCGGCGAGAGCACCGACGCCTTGCCGAGGCGCGAACAGAAATCCATAAAGCCGTGGATATCATCCCATACACGTGACCTCATAAATCGCCGCAACAGTGTAAAATCAAGCAACAACAACTTGGAAGAGAAAGCGTTGTTGAAACAGGTTCGTGCAGCATGCAGGCTGGACAACACTAGTTGGGTTGATGAACAAATATCAAGCGGTAGTTGGGATGGTGAAAGCATTGCCGACCTCAGCCGCGACGACAAGAGAGAAAATCTTGAACGGCAAGCTTGTGGACAGCACGCAGACAGCTGACACGATGGCCGACTATGGATCAGGTGCAATGGAAAATACGGTTTGCACAGCTTCTGGGCGACGACGCCTCTATAGGAGATCAGCTGCCAGTGTTAGAGTCAGACTTCACCAGGCAAGAAGTGCGTAGCACCATAAACAAACTCAAAAGCGGCGAAGCATGCGGAGTTGACAACATACCAGCGGAATATTGAAGGTAATTTCAGGAGGGCTCGACTGGATCACAAATCTATGCAACCAGTGCTGGAACGAACAAGCAGTATCTGAAGGTTGGAAGCAATCCATCGTTTCCACCAATTACAAGAACAAAGGGACCCTCGACAATTGCGACACTTACCGGCCAAACAGCTTGTTTTGCGCTGCTTATAAGCTAATGGCCGCACTTATCCTGAAACGGCTGCAAGACGGTGGGGCTGAAGATAGATTGACACCTACACAATACGGATTTCGCAGATGATATGGGACTTCAGACGCTGTACACGCCGTTCGTCGGCATATCGAGTTGGCCTACGCGGAGAAGGAAGGAGGTATATCGTTCTTAGCTTTGGATTGGAAGAAAGCGTTTGGCTCGCTTAACGTGGGCGCAATTCTGGAAGTATTACGTAAATTCGGAGTACCACGCCGCATCGTTACGATCATTGGCAACTTCTATAGCAGCAGAATGTTCAAAATAGCAGACGGACAACATACATCTACCGAGAGACGGCAACGTTCTGGAATATCCGAAGGTTGTCCGCGTTCACCGTTCTTGTTCGTTATGTTAATGACGATGGTATTACGAGACGCCGAGCGCCACGCAGACTCTGGTGTCCGTGAGGCTTTGCGATCAGAAACAATGGCTGTATTACTGTATGCCGACGACACGCTGCTCGTTGGGCGTGACCAACTTCATATGCAATCTCTCTTGGGAGAAATTGCAGAATCAGGGGCCTGGGTCGGCATGGAATTGCATTGGGACGAGTTCCAGTTCAGGCGGGTTCGTTGCGATATGAGCCTTACGACACCACAGGGCGAACCAACCCCAACCAAATAATAAAATTGAACATCTTGGGGCAACAATCTCGAGCTCAGGCCGGCCGTCTGGAGAATTAAGCAGAAGATGTGGGGCAGCGTGGGGTGAATTTTGCAGATACAGGCGCGCGTGGAAATACACAACTATTGGGAAAGCCCGCAAACTTCAAGTTTTCCAATCTCTCGGCACGGATAAGGTCATGTATTCTCTAAATTCGGCTTGGCTCAACAAAGCAAAACGTCGACAGTTAGATGGTTTTCAGGCCTGGTGCCT